CAGGGGAAATTTGTCACTGATACTCAGGCGAGAGAGAGACGTCCACACTCGACGAAGGCTGGCGCAGAAGTCCTTTTACACAAATTCCCAGTCCAAACCCTCATTACGCCATCTTAGATGCTACACCACTTTACAACGTTCATCTTATACATAGATTTATTTAAATTCAGTGACACTTCCAGGTGTGTCATACATTTTCCTTATCCAAATATGAATTTCTTCGAAATTACATTAATTACATTTTTACTTAACTGATTAATTACCATAAATAAGGAAATTATAGGGGATGTTGGTTTCCCTGTGGCTCATCATCTTTTAAAAGTCACATCAACACCACACACCTACACTACTTTATATAAACATTATTATCCCCCTTAAGTATTATACACAAGTTACAGGAAAATTATCATTATTTTCCACAAACATTGTAATGGAACCACTGTACTGCATTTCTGGTTTTCTGTTATTATATTCAGCTCTATTCTGTTGCTTCTGATATCTTGGTTTACGTTATTCAGCATTCTAATGTTTTACATTAACCCTCTCAAGCTTTGTTTGAAAAAACTCGTAAGTCCTCTTAGCACTCGTCCCATCGTTATAATGATCTATATAAAATTAATCAGAAGGCACTTGTACATGCCAACAGTCTCAAGATCTCTTACCAAGTTACAGTACACCAGCACTAATATTTTTAACTTGATCAAATGAGGCCTATTCAGGTTATAAACCTTGGAAACAAGAGTTCGGTAGGGCTTCAGAGACGTTTAATAAGATGATGGAGGAGTTATGTTGGATCCCACCACCTACCATGGTGACGTAGACACGTTGAGCTCTACCACCCACCATGGTGACGTAGACATGTTGAGCTCCACTACCCACTATGGTGACGTAGACATGCTGAGCTCCACCACCCACCACAGTGAGAGAAATGTTGGACTGCACCATCCTACCAGGGAAGGAGAGATCCCTTGACGTAGTGAAGCGCTCTTGATACGAAGAATTAGACCTATTGTCTACTTCCTTGAATCGAATCTGATTACTCTCGCCCTTCCCCTTTCCGTTTAGCCTTTAGGGATATTCCCCTTGTGTATAACAGCTCCTAGACTGAGAAAAAGGGATCGTTGTCCTTCCCATTACGTGACCTCCTTGGCAATGGCAGTGGTGTTTGCCCTGGAAATTGGATCATCTGGGTATGTGCCTAGGCTGCCTGTCGGTTTCAGGTGGCAGCCAAAGGAAGTATGACTCTTGGTGGATTTCTAGTTGCTCTTCTCTTTCGTCGGCAGAGGTGGCTCGGTGGATGGGAGGTTGGGTACTATATATATTGCTGGTTTACTGGTATGAAGGGTAGGTAATGGAGCGGTTTGCATGTACCATCAGCTCTACTTGCTGCTACGAGAGGTGATATATAGTCTCTTTTTCGCTTTTCCTCAATTCAATTTCCTTAATTCACGAATAGTCCGGTTCATGATTGGCCTCCCACTGGTCTCCTAACCCATGCAGGACCCTGACCTAATCCCGACCAATCCACGAACCTTCCCCCGAACCCGGTACCACTTTTCGTTGCCGAACAGTTGATACATTGATCATGCACCCGGCTTCTTTCACAACAGAAAGTCGATTTTCGAATCGGTTGATCGTCACAGGACAGATTGGCTTGATACTAGTGCCCATACGACCTCAAGCTATACTCGATGATCCAAATACTATGACACTTTCCTACTAGCTCCAACCCTAAGAAACGCGTTATCTGGAATTCTGTTCCCCTCAACTCTATATTTCAAAGAAAATCTTGGACGAAATTCTTTATCTTCAGCCAGTAACATTTGCTTCTTACCTCAATGACCACGACATCTGCAAAGCACTCATGAGGCATATAGGTCAAAATGTACCCTTTCATGCCCTCAAGAGTGGGATGCGCATTGTCGCTGTGAAGGACACTGAACAAGCTGACACTTTTCCCTTCAGTCTATCGATGACTCCCTGTCACTAAACATAAGACATTCCTTTCTCAATTCTAGCTGTGGTTCAAGCCTCATCCTGCATTCCATTATCTTACACGAATTTCTGCAATGCGGCCCAGACATTCAAGAGCAACTTGAACTCCAAAGCCTCCCAGTCACCAAAGTGGAAACTTATGTCTGCTTTAACCAAGGTCGGAGACGTTATCCTAGTACCCTTGACTGTTGAGAACTTCCAGCTTCCGTTTGCATAGTGGGCCACCCCCATACAAATGCAGAAGTTGTACCCTACACCTTAACATTGTTGGTACTTTGGCCACCTGGCTATGACCAAGTAGTGTAGATCATTGGCAGAATGCCCGGTCTACGGTGCAGCAGATCATAATCCAGCCTGCCTCTCGCTTGCTTTGAACCCCTTCCTCAACGTTTCTCATACTGGTTATGTAACTACCACTACTATTATAGCGAAAGACGAATATCTGGGTGAATAATAAGTTTTGGAGGCGATCCTTATATTTATTGGTTATGTTGCAGTACATGTGCTGGTCACTGCTGTATATCTATAGACCCATCTCTGGTACAGCGGAGACATATCTAAGAATAACTGATGATATTCATCATAAAGATTGATCCAGTGCACGGAATCAAGAGCCTCTCACCGACATCAAGGAACCTCCTTGAGGGGTTGAAAGTTTTGAGGTACAGCTACTAGGACTCCTGTGTGGGTAGAGATGTGGGATAATGGAAATACAGTACTTCTCATGTTGAAAAATGAAACACTTCTGCAACATTTGGGAATGTCAATTACAGAAACGTTACCCCAGTCAGTGGCTTCTTCAGTCCATTTCAGAGAAGAACGAGTGGAAAATGAGGAGGAGTTTGAGGTAATCAGTGACTCAGCCTGTATGTTCAGTCCAAGAATAGTAAGCCAGTAAGTTTATTTAGGCACAGGTATACAAGTCCTTGTAAAATCTTATTAAGCCTTATAAGTTAAAACAGGTAAGTAACTCAACTGTGTGAAAATCAGTCACAATAAAAGGAGATATACTAGGAATAAGGTAAACTGAGTTATTTACATTATCATTAAAGAGAGGATCATCTTACAGTTATAGGCACATGAATATTAGCTATACAAAAAAATAGCTCTCATCCTTTTCTGTAGATTCATTCATTAGGTACCTTTTAGCTCTCTTCCTGAACTGGCTCATGCTAGGACATGCTTTGACATGTGAAGGCAGTGTGTTTCACTCCTGCTTTTGCTGTACAATAAATGGTGTTTGAAGCCTGACCACCTACTGTAGGTACTACAAAACTGTATTCACTTTCCCTAGTACCATACTGGTTTTGGTTCCCATCCATGACAAACTTTGCAGCAAGATATTCCGGACACTCTTGTGAGCAATTTTATAAACATGATTTAACTTCAGTTGCTTTACTCTGTCTTCAGCATTCAGCATATCCAGTTGTAATTCATCCTGGCTTACATGCTCTCTTAGACCCAGGTCTAGGATGAATCTCACCATTTTGTTCAGGGTGATTTGTAGTCAGTCCAGGTAAACTCCAGGTAAGTCTTTCAGCTTTTCTGTTAAGGCAGAGTACCATGAAGAGCAAGAATAATCTATATGGCACTGTATAAGAACTAGGTATAGGGTCCTGAGAGCCTTAGTAGGAAGATACTGTGCCTGTCTATAGAGGAACTTTAGTCTGGCACTCGCTTTCTTTACTACACTGTTCCCCATAAATTCTCCTGACATGCTTGGGTCAAAGGGGATTCTCAAATATTTCTCTGAATATACTGAAGGGATGGGTTCCCAATTACACCCTTTTCGGTTTACTTTTCGTGCCAAAGAGTATGGCTTCTGTTTTCCCGAGGTGTAATGATAATTTGTCTACTAACCATTTGCTGGAGGACTCAAGTTCTAGTGACAGTGCATTACCTATATCTTGTGGGTTTTTACCTGACTAACAAGCACTGTCGTCTGCATACACACAAGCTTACACTTGAAACTGATGGGCATGTCATTCACATAACATAGGAACAGTCCAGAACACCACCTTGGAGAAACCCCATATGCTATCGGCTGCGTTGTTGATCTTGACAATTTGTTTCCTGTTGCTCACGTAGGACTTAAACCAGTCTACACAATCTATGCCAATAGCATGTACTTTCATACATAATATATTATGGTTGGCCGTATCGAAAGCCTTTTGCAAGTCTAAGGTAACCATACCTATGAGATTCCGTAACGACATTTGAGTTCTCAGGTAGTCCATCAGATTAATTAGGGAGGTGTCGGTCGAGTAGGATCTGAAACCTGACTGGTTACTATGGAGAATGTTTTTGTCATTAAGATTCTTTACTTGACAATACACCCCTCTCTCCAGAATTCTGGACGTCACACTGTGTATACTAACAGGCCTATAGTTGACGTCACACCTACTATTTTTCTTGAAGATGGAATAAACTCTGGCCTCCTTAAACCCCTCCGGAATGGTATTGGTGGTGATGGACAAATTTATTATGTGCGCAGTGTCAAGACTGGTGGACTGAACACATCGACTCCAGTCTGAGGGACTGATTACCTCAAATTCCTCCTCATCTTTCGCCGTTCTTCTCTGTAATGGACTGAAGAAACTACTGGCTGGCGAAACGTTTCAGTAATAAAGATTTCCAAATCTTCCACAAGTGTCTCATTCTTCAGCTTGTGGGTTTTCTAAACCATTAATATGAGTATTTCTGATGGATGGCGCACACGGCCAACAAACTGGTATATAATTCTCATATTATGTTGCGCATACCGTTGGCTTTGTATTAGTATTTTTCATATCAAATTGTAATTTATCATGGTCATAACTAACATGTACCAAATTTGACGCTTTCAATTATATTTTTTATCCATCAAAATTATAAACACTACATTGTGCGGTTACCGTAAATTATGAGATAAAAATCACAGGTGTGATGGGGACTGAACCCACCCGTTCTGTGATTCGTCTGCCATCGTCTTATTGCCATATTTATAAGATATTTTATAAACTTAGGGCTAAACTTCTGTTTGCCAAGAACATCAATGTTTTGTTACCTGTTGGGATTCTCAGAGACGACAGCCAAAGATGCTGCTGAGGAACTAAGGAGAGTGAGGCAGCTTGAAGCTCCTCTGCACCGCAGACGTCAACGTATGATGCACCTCAGGCAGGTGTACAAGGTAAGATACCTTACTCAACTGTTGAAAACAAAGTTGAGATATGTATTAAGCAACTTGCACACTACTGCTTACATTGTGAAACATTAAAACTTATACTGCAAGCTTACCATGTTTACAGGAATAGTAGACACTCCTCATTATATATAAACAGAACAGTCTGCTGTGTCAGCTACAAGACTTTTTCAGGTGGGCGCAGGTCGAGTGTGGGGGGAGAGGGCGCCCGCCCAGCAGCTGATGCACGTGGGCGTGCAGGCGTGTAAGAACAGCCTTGATTCCCTAAAGGTGTGACTATCGTTCACGACTAACCTCACGATTGTTGTACCGATGTCACTTACTGGTGATCTTGTGGCCATCATACTTACCTCAACATTGTTCCGCTCCTCACACTTATAAGTGTACATGTGTTATATTCGTCACACTTATCAGTACATGTGTCATGTTCATCACTTATTAGTGTTGTGTGTTGTGTTCATCACTGTGAAGGCTTACTCAGCCCTGTAACAACTTCATTAAGTATTACCAAGGCTGGCTCCTCCTCAGGAAAATTAATGAATAGAAAAAGAACAGTCAAATATAAACACTATTATTTAGAAATGAAAATATAAAACTATTAAATATGAATTTTTATCCTACTTGAAAGAGAAATGAAAGATGAAATATAAAAATAATATCGGAATTCAACGCTAATATGTACAGTTAGACTGGGGTGTCTGATGTTGACACCGCGTGTTGAAGAAATTGTAGCCGTTGCTGATGATGGGGGGGGGGGGGGTCACAGATGTTGAGTGACAACCCAACGACTAGTTCTTCACAGAGTCTCTAGCCTTGAATAGTCCGTCAAGATGATAGGAACACAGGTCTTTCACCACTGCAAAGATGAGAGGTAGTTAGAAATAAATGGTATAAAATACCGACACAATGGAAATATAAACACATATGCAGTATAATGTGATCCTTTATGACTACGTTTCGCCCACACAGTGGGCTTTTTCAAGTCTGTTTGTGACTTGAAAAAGCCCACTGTGTGGGCGAAACGTAGTCATAAAGGATCACATTATACTGCATATGTGTTTATATTTCCATGAGAGGTAGTTGCCTGGGGTTGACTACACTTAGGTATGCAGATAAAATGGTGACGTCCCAGAACTTGGGTAAAGTTCGTCTCCTTCAACACTGTTTCTTTGGTTGCCAGATGACCCGAGCTGACATTCCAAGCTAAAAAGAGACAAAGGTTACCCACTGCCTAAGAAATCACTCTCCATGATAAGTAAAGTATTTAAAAAACATGGTGATTATCTAAAAGCACATGGAAATCAAGGCAGAATGAACTACGTCTTAAAACTGGTTAAAAGTGAAGCTTTTAACCAATATATCCACTAGAATAGGAGCAGAGGCTTTTACTTTCAGTTGTGCTGGGAGCTGTGAGTCAAGTGATTACCATTTGGTCGGAGCCCCACACGTCACCTTTCCGGGTGGAAAAAAGGGGGGGGGGGAATAGCGGGAGCTAGACACTGACCCTACCTTATCAAACTATCGTCACCATATACTCGCTTGCTACTCCTATCTGTTGAACTTTTCCCTCACAATCACACTTATTAGTGTTATGTGTTGTGTTCATCACACTTATTAGTGTTATGTGTTGTGTTCATCACACTTATTAGTGTTGTATGTTATGTTCGTCATTTTTATTAGATTGATGTGCTGTGTTCGTCACATCAGTGTTGTATATCACGCATATATCTTCTCCGATACTTTTAACATCATGTAGATGTGATCCCAAGCTGGTAACAACCAGGAGGATCATTGTCACAGACTGTGATGATAATGCTACAAGAAATTCAGTTAGTAGTAAAATATCACCACGGGGAAGAGCTAAAACCATAAGGGTCATGTAACGCCTGGGGAATGTGGGGAAATCTAATTTGATCCAAGGAAGGCGAGGGTAGCTCCAGTTCACTGGATCAAGAACTCTTGAAGGGAATCAGTTATATATCTTATTTGTAGGTTCGCCGGTTCTGTCCTGGTCCGGGTCTTTTCCAGATAGTGACCCGGCGATCAGTTTTATAGAATGAAAGTTTGTTAAGGGTACGTTTGTCTTCCCTTCTTCACTTTTTAGTGTTCATTATAGAGATGCGACCATGCATGTCTCTCTCTCACTCTTGTGTGATAACTTTACCATAAGTCACCTGTAGCTCAGTAGTTGAGTGCCTGACCCCGCCTGGAGTTTACCTGGAGCCTAAGAAACAAGCTGGGCTTGTTTCTTAGGCAGGGTCAGACGTATGGGTGAGTCACTTTACTTCTACTGTCCATAGTAAACTAGCACTAGGAGTATTATTATTACAATCAAAACTAAGCGCATTGCCTAAGCATCGGTAACAAATATTCCAAATTCTCCCTAGGACGCTTGTCCTCATCTCAGTAGCGTAGTAAGAGGATGGAAGCAGTATAGCCTATATAGGTCCGAGCCTTGAAACAGACTGAGGCAGAGTAACAGGTTGGTCTGCAAATTCTGTCTAAAATAAAGTCAACAGGAAGGCTGTGTCTTCAGGTGCAGAACTATCTTCAGTATCTCATCAATGGACAGTTTGGTGCCAGTGGAGTGGCGGTCTTCAACCTCATTAGAGATTTGATTTCATTAAACTCTCTCGTGAGTGTAGTGATGTGCCTAAGCCTGGTGCTACCACAGGTGCTCCAAGAGCCCCAGCCCATCACAACAGCCGCCTGGGTCATCACAAACACTACCAACAATGACAACTGCCCACCTGTACTTATTTCCTACGATAATATAAAGGTAAAGTTCTCTCATATTATGCTGTTAAGTCAGCATACATTGGTCATAGAATATTCCTTAATGCATGCACACACGTACACACAGTAGCGGCCAGTAAAGAGGTGGGGCGAGGAACTGTGAATCGACCCCTGCAACCACAACTAGGTGAGTACACACACACACACACACTATGCTATGAATCGACCCCTGCAAGCACAAATAGGTGAGTGCAAATAGATGAGTACACACACATACACACACACACAGTTGGAAGCTGAAGACACAGATGAATCAAAGGGATGTTAGGAAGTATTTCTTCAGCCACAGAGTAGTCAGTAAGTGGAATAGTTTGGGAAGCGATGTAGTGGAGGCAGGATCCATACATAGCTTTAAGCAGAGGTACGATAAAGCTCATGGTTCAGGGAGAGTGACCTAGTAGCGACCAGTGAAGAGGCGGGGCCAGGAGCTTGGACTCGACCCCTGCAACCTCAACTAGGTGAGTACAACTAGGTGACTACACACGGAGCGGGAAGAGTGATTGAGTAGCGGCCAGTTGAAGAGGCGGGGCCAGGAGCTGTGACTCGACCCCCGCAACCACAACTAGGTGAGTACAACTAGGTGAGTACACACAAACGAAATGATGAAATACGTAACAGCAAAATGCAAGGAGGCAGAAGAAAGATTTGTTCCCAAGGGCAACAGAAATAATGGGAAGACCAGAACGAGCCCCTGGTTTACCCGACGGTGTAAGGAGGCAAAAACTAAGTGCACTAAAGAACAGAAAAAGTACTTAAGGCAAAGAACACAGGAAAATAAAGAGATTAGTCGAAGAGCCAGGAACGAGTACGCACAGGTAAGGAGGGAGGCCCAGCGACAGTATGAAAATAACACAGCATCGAAAGTCAAGTCTAACCCGAAACTGCTGTATAGCCACATCAGGAGGAAGACAACAGTCAAAGACCACGTGATCGGCTGAGGACAGAAGGTGGGGAACTCACAAGAAACGATCATGAGGTATGTGAGGAGCTCAACATGAGATTTAAGGAAGTATTTACAGTAAAGACAGGAAGGGCTCTGGGTAGACAGCACAGAGGGGAACACCAACAAGGAATATACTAACAAGCGTTGGATGACATGCAAACAATGGAGGAGGAGGTGCAGAAGCTGCTAAGTGACCTTGATATCTCAAAGGCGATGGGACCGGACAACATCTTCCCGTGGGTCCTTAGAGAAGGAGCAGAGACGTGCGTGCCACTAACCACAATCTTCAATAAATCCCTTGAAACTGGGCAACTACCTGAGGTACAGAAAACGGCAAATGTAGTCCCCATTTTTAAGAAAGGAGACAGAAACGAGGCACTAAACTACAGACCAGTGTCTCTGACGTGTATGGTGTGCAAAGTCATGGAGAAGATTATCAGGAGGAGAGTGGTGGAGCACCTGGAACAGAACAGGATTATAAACGACAACCAGCACGGATTCATGGAAGGCAAATCCTATGTCATAAACCTTCTGGAGTTTTATGACAAGGTAACAGAAGTAAGACACGAGAGAGAGGGGTGGGTTGATTGCATTTTCCTGGACTGCAGGAAGGCCTTCGACGCAGTTCCTCACAAGAGATTAGTGCAGAAGCTGGAGGATCAGGCGCGTATAACAGGAAGGGCACTGCAATGGATCAGAGAATACCTGACAGGGAGGCAACAACGAGTCATGGTACGTGATGAGGTATCACAGTGGGCGCCTGTGACGAGCGTGGTCCCACAGGGGTCAGTCCTAGGACCAGTGCTATTTTTGGTATATGTGAATGAATAATGGAAGGGATAGACTCTGAAGTGTCCCTGTTCGCAGATGATGTAAAGTTAATGAGAAGAATTAAATCAGATGAGGATCAGGCAGGACTACAAAGAGACCTGGACAGGCTGGACACGTGGTCCAGCAACTGGCTTCTCGAATTCAACCCTGTCAAATGCAAAGTCATGAAGATTGGGGAAGGGCAAAGAAGACCGCAAACAGAGTATAGGCAAGGTGGACAAAGACTGCAAACCTCACTCAAGAAGAAAGATCTTGGGGTGACCATAACACTGAGCACGTCTCCCGAGGCACACATCAACCAGATAACTGCTGCAGCATATGGGCGCCTGGCAAATCTGAGAATAGCGTTCAGATACCGTAGTAAGTAATCGTTCAAGACACTGTACACTGTGTACGTCAGGCCCATACTGGAGTATGCAGCACCAGTTTGGAACCCACACCTGGTCAGGCACGTCAAGAAATTAGAAAAAGTACAAAGGTTTGCAACAAGGCTAGTTCCGGAGCTCAGGGGAATGTCCTACGAAGAAAGGTTGAGGGAAATCGGACTGACAACACTGGAGGACAGGAGAGTCAGGGAAGACATGATAACGACATACAAAATATTGCGTGGAATAGATAAGGTGGACAGAGACAGGGTGTTCCAGAGAGGGGACACAGAAACAAGGAGTCACAACTGGAAGCTGAAAACTCAGACGATTCACAGGGATGTTAGGAAGTATTTCTTCAGTCATAGAGTCGTCAAGAAGTCGAATAGCCTAGCAAGTGATGTAGTGGAGGCAGGAAACATACATAGCATTAAGGCGAGGTATGACAAAGCTCAGGAAGCAGAGAGAGAGGACCTAGTAGCGATCAGTGAAGAGGCGGGACCAGGAGCTGAGTCTCGACCCTTGCAACCACAATTAGGCGAGTACAATTAGGTGAGTACACACACACACACACAAATATATATATAATATATATATATATTATATATAATATATATATATATATATATATATATATATATATTAATATATATATATATATGTCGTGCCGAATATGTAAAACTGGTCAATTAGCAAGAACTCATTTAAAATTAAGTCCTTTCCAAAATTTTCTCTATACTTTAAAGACATATTTTTTTCGTTAATGTTAATGTAAAAATTTTTAATTTTGCACCAAAAGAATCTTAGAAAACTTACCTAACCTTATTATAACAAAAACAATTTATTTTAGCCTAACCCAACTATATATATTTTAGATTTGTTTACAATAATTTAATACTAAACAAACACAGTGAAATATATTTTATTCGTTAGGTTCAGAATGATTTTGGCGAAATTATTGCATACACAAATTTTCGCTTGTCTTATATAGCAAGATGAGCGTTGCTATTTAAGCCAAGATGGCAAGTTCTCGCCTATTCGGCACGACATATATATATATATATATATATAAATATATATATATATATATATATATATATATATATATATATATATATATATATATATATATATATATATATATATATATATATATATATATATATATATATATATGACAAATGTTAAAAGCAGGGGGGATATAGTTTTGGAGTGATTCGTACTTTTGTTCAATAAATGTATGAAACAGGAAAGGTACCTAGGCTCTGGCAGAAAGCATGTATAGTTCCTTTATATACAGCGAAGGGAGACAAAAGAATGTAAAATTTATAGGGAAATAAGCCTACTGAGTGTAACTAGTAAAGTGCATGGTAGGTTATTACTGAAAGAGGTAAGACGGAGACAGGATCGCAGATGAACAATAGGTTTTAGAATGGGTAGGGTATGTGTACATACACTCAGTGACCACTTTATTAAGTACACCTATATACCTGCTCATTAACACAAATATCTAATCAACCAATCACGTAGCAGCACTTCAATTCCTAAAAGCATGCAGACATGGTCATAAGTTGGAAAGGAATTTTTAGACCTCATTTTGGTCCACTCTAAATTATTATATTTTATACTGAACTTCTTACAGGTAAACAACTGCAGTATATCGTACGTGAATTCACTGGGTTCTGGGGACAATGAAACCTGGATTTGGGATTCAGCATCATGGGTGTCAGAAATGTTGCTTGGTAAAGGACGTCGAGAGTACTCACCTCTGTTCCTGGGCTTCTACCCCGTGCTGCTTGTACATGACAATTACCCCGTGGCAGCAGCACAGCTCCTGGCCGTGGTGATTGTTTTCTTGGCATCATTAGTGATGGTGGTGAAAAGAGTGGGTCAATGGCTCCGTTATAACCCTTCCTTCTGGGGAGAACTCACCTTCTCTAAGATGGTATTCGCCGGATGGGACTTTAATCTGAGACATGTACACTGCATCACTTCCAAGCAACATGTTTTGAGGAACGATATTCGTGCCGCTCTTGATGAGTATCAGTTCCAACGATCAAAGAGCAGTAGAACTACAGCACAGCTGCTGAAGCTCTACGTAAAGAGACTCATCGTAAATTGCTTGATTTTTGTGGCAATGTCTGTTGGTTACATGATCATAGTTATATTCACTAATTATCGCCCATTCTTAGAAGAGTTGCTTAATAACTATTATTCCCAAGATTCATGGCAAAAAGAAACTTTGGACTCCTTGATAAGCTACCTGGACATACTGACAGTGTGGCTGGTGAATCTGCTGCTGCCCATGCTGCTATCCTTGCTGGGCTCCCTAGAAGAGTATAGTAGCCGTGTATCTATGCTGCTTTTCATACTCCGTAACGCTGCTATTCGTCTCATTTCTCTGGGAGTACTGGTGGCGTCTCATCTCATCCTCGTCTCTTCTCACAGCACAAGAGACTGTCGATCTGATATGCCATGCTGGGAAACTGCCCTCGCACAGAAACTTTACGCTCAGCTAATGTGGGACTTTGTGATACGTGTTGTGTGGACAGCACTGCTGCTCACTCATAAGCTACTCTCAATACCATTTACGTGTCTCAAGATCTCAATCTTCGAGCCAGAATTCGACGTGCCAGGCAGAGTGCTGGATGTGCTCACCTTGCAGACCCTCTGCTGGCTGAGTGTCCCCGTGTCACCGCTCCTGCCACTCTTGGTCCTGGTGTCACTCTGTGTCCTACTGTGGTGTGATGTAATTGTAGCACTACTTACTTCAAAGTCTTCTAGTCACATATTTCAGGTGTCACACTCCTCTGCTATATTCATGGTGGTGATGGCTGTGTCCTGGGTCGGGGCGGCCACTGTCACTGTCGTTGTTCTCTTCTTTATTCCACCGTCTCTGGGTTGCGGCCCCTTCAGAGGACTGAGTGTGGCCTGGGACGCACTTGCCTACTACACTTGTAACCTGGAGGGCTCCGTCACCTTGTTCAGGTAAATAAAAAAAATATTGGATGATTGAAGTATATTATCTAATAAATTAGCCCCTTTGAATAAACTATGTTACATAGTTTCATATATATATATATATATAGTGTGTGTGTGTGTGTGTGTGGTGTGTTGTGTGTGTGTGTGTGTGTGTGTGTGTGTGTGTGTGTGTGTGTGTGTGTCGTGCCGAATAGGCAGAACTTGCGATCTTGGCTTAAATAAACAACGTTCATCTTGCCATATAGGACAAGTGAAAATTTGTGTATGCAATAATTTCGCCAAAATCATTCTGAACCTAACGAAAAAAATATATTTCACTGTGTTAGTTTTAAATTATTGTGAAAAAATCTAAAATATATATAGTTGGGTTAGGCTAAAATAAAATGTTCTTGTTATAATAAGGTTAGGTAAGTTTTCTAAGATTCTTTTGGTGCAAAATTAAAAATTTTTACATTAACATTAATGAAAAAATATATCTTTAAACGAATAAGAGAAAATTTTAGAAAGTACTTAATTTTAAAAGAGTTCTTGCTAATTGACCAGTTTTACATATATATATATATATATATATATATATATATATATATATATATATATATATATATATATATATATATATATATATATATATATATATATAATACCATTGGAGCATTGAGGCTTATAAGGACGTCAGTACGGGGCAAGATCTGAAGGACAAACATCCACCCAGGGCTCCCAGTACCAACATTAAGTAAGTAAGTAAGTAAGTTTATTCAGGTATACACAAATACAGTTACATAGAATTATCATACATAGCAGCATATGTGTAGAGAACCTAGGATAACCCAAAAAAGTCAGACAGAGTGACTTATTTCCATTGGGGTCCTTTTACCTTATTATTATAGTATAAAGGTTATAATATTTTCTTATTATTCTACAATGAAGATAACATCTTATTATCATACTAAAAAGACTATCTGCTACACCAAGGTCATTAAGACTATCTACAATACGAGGGTCATTACAAGGAATAAGGTAAAATTTACACGTATGTTAGCTAAAAAATAGAAAATCATTCCCCTCCCTTTCTGTAGCTACATTCATCAGACACCTTTTGGCACTCTTCTTGAACTGGTTCACGCTATGACTGGCTTTGACATGTGCGGGTAGTCTGTTCCATTCCTTTATTGCTGTACAATAAAAGGTGTTTGAAGCCTGGCCACTGACTGTGGGTACTACAAAGTTGTGCTCTCTCCCCCTAGTACTATGATTGCTTTGGTTCCCAACCTTGACAAAATTGACAGCAAGATATTCTGGACATTGTTTGTGAGCAATTTTATAAACATGATTTAGCTTCAGTTGTTTTACTCTGTCTTCAACATTCAGCATATCCAACTGCTGTAATTCATCCTGGCCTACATATTTTCTTGGTCCCAGCCCCAGGATGAATCTTACGATTTTGTTCTGGGTGATTTGCAGTCTATCTTTCAGTTTTTTTGTCAAGGCAGAGTACCAAGAAGAGCAAGCGTAATCCATATGGCATTGTATAAGGGCTAGACATAGGGTCCTGCGAGCCTCAGTAGGTAGACACTGTGCTTGTCTATACAGGAACTTCAGTTTGGCATTCGCTTTCTTTACTACACTGTTCCCTATCAATTCTCCTGACATGCATGGGTCAAAGGGGATTCCCAAATATTTTACTGATGAAACCAAAGTGATGGGCTCCCCATTACATTGAACATTAAAATTATTTACCCTTCTCAGTTTATGTTTCGTGCCAAAGAGAATGGCTTCAGTTTTCCCTAGGTGTAATGATAGTTTGTTGTCTACTAACCATTTGCTGCAGGACTCCAGTTCCAGTGTTAAAACATTAGCAATATCTTGTGGGTCTTTACCTGACACTAACAGAGCACTGTCATCTGCATACAGTAGGAGTTTGCACTTGACACTGATAGGCATATCATTGACATAACATAAGAATAATAAGGGACCCAGAATACTACCTTGGGGAACTCCACATGTTATCGGCAGGGGTTCTGATTCTGTTTTGTTGATTTTGACTATTTGTCTCCTGTTGCTAAGGTAGGACTTAAACCAGTCTACAGAACCTATACCGATAGCTTGAAGTTTATTACATAATATATTGTGGTTGACAGCATCGAAGGCCTTTTGCAGGTCTAAGGTTACCATTGACCTCCCTGACATTGCAGCAGGCGAAAAACATCTCACCTTACAAGATGCTGATGTGTATAAAGCTTCTATGTCATTTCCACAGGGCTCAGCAGGAGGTTACACCGGTTTAAGGCCTCAACACTTAAAACAAATACTCAGTCCAGCACTTGGTGATGTTTCAGAGAGGCTGCTATCTGAACTCACCAGATTTTCCAACCTGTGCCTGACTGGCAGTGTCCTAGAGGCCATTAGACCCATTTTCTTTGGTGCCTCATTGTGTGCCCTCCGGAAAAAGGATGGAGGAATCAGGCCCATTGCAGTGGGCAACACTCTTCGGCGCCTAGTCGCCAAGGCTGCAGTAAGAAGGGTGAGTCAAGAGGCTGCTGCAATGTTGAAACCAACTCAGCTCGGTTTTGGTGTTCAACAAGGCTATGAAGCACCTGCCCACGCAGCACGAGTATATATCAACATGTCCGATGAAAAAGCTTTGATCAAATTGGACTTTGCCAACGCTTTCAACTCAGTCAGAAGGGATGCTGCTCTCCAAGCAGTTTATAGAAACTTCCCTTCCCTCTATCCCTTCATAGAATCGTGTTATAGTGTGTCTTCCAAACTATTGTTTGAGGACCATGAAATTGACTAGTGTGAGGGTGTGCAACAGGGGGACCCTCTCGCCCCGTTTCTATTCTGTTTGGTCATCAAGGAAGTCACAGAAGCACTCTCCAGTAAGCTCAATATCTGGTTCTTGGATGATGGTATCCTAGCTGGCACAACAGAATTTCCTAGAGGACATCAAAAAATTAAAGACGGGGGAAACCCCTGGGCCTATCTTTAAATCCCCCCAAATGTAAAAATATTTCTACCAATCGCAGATATCCAAAAATTTTAGTGCTGTTTTACCAGGACACGAGCCTTTTCCCCAATGCACTCTCCTTGGCGCCCCGTTTGGGGCCCCAATCCATCGATCTGATCCTGAAAAAAGTCTCGACCTCCGGATAGGGAAGGCGGATGAAAGACACTGATACACTATCCCCTTCTCTACTACAAGGTGCCTGTCAACCCCAAAAATTTCCCTATTTCTGGATGCCCCCCAGCCTTTCAGCAGTCCAAAAACTCAAGGAATTGCCCCCCCTTAGACCAGGGTAGAAAAATGTATTAAATTTTTCCCTGGAAGCGGGGACGTGGTTGAAAGCTTCATTTCCCGGTCGGCGGGGGGGCGGGGAGTACGCAGTCCCCCAATTGCTCTACCAGCTTTCCTTCCTCTTCCATAGCATCAAAGATTAATAAGACAAATTTTCCCGATAACCCAGTGCTCAGCAGGAATCAGGCCCCACGTATGCCATGCCATCCTAAATGGGAGACCTTATGCTTCAGCATCAAACCCTAGTGCAGCACTGGCTCACAAACTCAAGCTGGATGCCCGATCGCTAAAAAAAGGTGCTTCCCAAAAATGCTCGGGGCGTAACATGACGGGGGAACCGCCTGTCTCCGGCTGTGAGCTTCCTCCCCCGGGGGACTTCCTCCAAACAGTTCCATATCGGCTAGGGGAACACGCACGACCCTAAGACCTCCGTATTGCAGTGGTTCTGTGCCTTGCTGACCAATTCACGGAAAATATGTTTTCGGTGAAGCGAAGCCGACCAATAGGGTCTAATGGTTCAATCTTCCAAAACCGGCTGGCATGCAAGCACAATGGGGTCAACGACTCATAAAGGAACCTTTGTTAAGTTTGATGCCCACCCGAGGGGGAGCCCCGATCTTACACCAAAAATACCCACAACCCAGCAACCGCCCCGACGGGTCACCATTATCCTTGGAAAATGGAAAAACTTTTGCAAGGGACTATACCTGTGTCCACACTGGCAAAACACCATATCCTCACAGTGTTGGGCGACAGGGAGGAGCTGCTGACCACAGGGGGAGTACAAGATCGCAAGTACAGGAAAGCCAACAGCATCAATTTGTCCCGTGGATCAGAGACCTTGGAATCATGGGAAAAAAATCCACACGTTTTCCTTAAAGAATTGGGTTCCAGATCATCGACACCCCCGGGGGCCCAAAGGGAGCCCCTTTCTGTTCCCGCGCCCCAGGTGGCCTCCAGAGGGGAAAAGCTTGAATACTAGGTCCCCTCCGGGCTTCGGAGGAGTGGAGGAAATTTATAATCTTTAATATATTGTAACATATTGTAACTGTCAGTGTTCTGTCCATTTTTTAACATTTTCCTTGGTGGAGGAAGGGGTCATTTCAGCTGGGTGTACGGACATGTGAGTGTAAAGCTTAGATCTGAATATCTTTTTAATCCCATGGTTTTTAAATGTTATAACTTGCCCCAGGGGGGTGATGACGGCTGAACGATGTGGTGGTGCGGCCCTTAGGACATTTGGTCATGGCCGCTTTATATTATCTCTGGATCCTGCAGCTCCGTTCTGTTCTCGTCAAGCGACTCGAGAACAAACTAAAGGAGATCTTCAAAGACAAAGTGTTCTTAATGGAAAGACAACAGAGGTATCGTGACTGTCAAATCTTCCACTTGCAGGATCCACTTACACACTGCCCGGACTTTCGACGGTAGCTGTGTCAAAGAGTCCAAAACAATGAATTAGAAATACATGCCAGCTTCAGTGCAAATCAAGGTATATAGTTCACTTATCATTAATATATTTGGAAAACAAATCCCAACATTTTATTTCTTCAAAATGTTTCCTATATCTTTATTTTAATAAATTTTGCAGTTGTAAGCGATGACATCATTGGCTTTGTTACATTTTTTCCCAAAGGTCAGCATCAGTCATCCTGTGAGTTGCAATAATGTTGCTAGAATTATTGACAATATGTTGGATAAAAGGAGACATGTGCAACTAATGCGATATTTTATTGTGGCAACGTTTCGCTCTCCAGGAGTTTTGTTAAGCCTTTACGAACAATACTGGGACACACAGGGTATATACAGGACATAGGCATTAGAGTGAGATGTAAAAGCATAATATAATCTCTGTATGTTATAATAGTAGTAGTGGTAGTAGTAGTAGTCCTACTGGTATTAGTAATAGTAGTAGTAGCAGTAGCAGCAGTAGTAGTAGTAGTAGTAGTAGTAGTAGTAGTAGTAGTAGTAGTAGTAGCAGTAGCAGCAGTAGTAGTAGTAGTAGTAGCAGCAGCAGCAGTAGCAGCAGTAGTAGTAGTAGCAGCAGTAGCAGTAGTAGTAGTAGTAGTAGTAGTAGTAGTAGTAGCAGTAGCAGCAGTAGTAGTAGTAGTAGTAGCAGCAGCAGCAGTAGCAGCAGTAGTAGTAGTAGCAGCAGTAGCAGTAGTAGTAGTAGTAGTAGTAGTAGTAGTAGTAGTAGTAGTAGTAGTAGTAGTAGTAGTAGTAGTAGTAGCAGTAGTAGTGGTACTAGTAATATTGCTACTACCACAACCACCACCACCACTACCACCACTATCTACATCTACTATGCTTTGCATCTCCCAGTATTGTCAGTAACAACTTGACAAAGCTCCTTGAGAGCGAAATGTTGCCACAAGAAAATGTCGCATTAGTTGCACATGTCCTTTTACCTAACACTGGTACCATTAACTCTATCCTTAGTTAATACAGTATTTGTTAAAAAATTGTATTAAGTGTTATTGCATGTAAACAATACACAGAGTGTATGTGTTGATTGTCAACTGTTTCCATACGAAAACATACCACAAAAGTACCGACTACTCACTACAGTAGGTATTAACTATGGAGTTAGTGAAAATCATAAAAAAAATATGCATTTTGCTTCCATTAGATCACTGATTGACTATCCTTAATTCCTACTAGCTCTTGTCAAACTGGAAGCTTGGAGAACTTGGGAAATGGCAGATGGAAGCAATAAAGATCATCCTATTATGTTCCTTGTCCATGTAGCACCAAGACTGGCGCAGCCTCGAGGCAAGAAGTGGCTAATGGGGCTAAAGCCCTCCTCATATGCAAATACTTTTATTTTCAGTTACTAAGTTTCATTATATTATATTGACTAGTAACCAAGAAAGCACGAAAGTTCGAGAAATTTCGTATACATACTAAATAAAAGTGTTTAGATTTGATTTCTTCGATTTTTTTTCCTTCCTTAAGCCCCTTCATCCCGCTCAAGTTGAAATCCTGGTTGCGAAAAGTGCCGCCGAAGAAGAACTTGATATTCCAGGCACTGAAAGAAATGTCCTCACTGGTGTTAATATGCTCAGGCAAATCATTTCAAACACTGGCTCCAAAATTCTTCATAGTTTCTTTGCCACATGTGAATACACCTCTAAAGTATCTGTATATCTGAAACTGACTTATAAATGAATTAAAGACACGATCTATGTCAAGTAAGAGAACAGCGACATTTCCCAGCACCAAGTTACTATTCTTCACATTCATCCCCTCAAGGAAGGTTCCTTGATGTTGGTGAGGGGCTCTTGATTTAGGGAATTGGATCTGTGCTCCAGTTCCCTGAATTAAGCCTGAATGCCTTCCACATCCCCCCCCCAGGCGCTGTATAATCCTCCGGGTTTAGCGCTTCCCCCTTGATTATAATAATAATAATTCACATTCATCAGAGAACTTTATTATATCACACTCAAAGTTTCGTCATGAAGCTACGTACGATACTCCTCCGTTCAGCAACCCGCTGGTGCAGTTTGTAGAGTCGCTCTTGTCAAACTAAACTATTTGTTGTACTCTTTCCACTCACCTGTGTCTATATATTTAATATTGTGATTTTTTATCATCCAAAAATGTTAAATCCATGAATGTTAATTGTGCAATACATGCGTTAGAAGTAAAACGCAGGTATGGTAGAACTGTCGACAGTGGAGTCAGTGTTCAAATGCAATTCCATCACATATCGGCCTTCAGATGCATGCTAGAACTGATGAATTGGAAAAGGCATACGCCTTGAAGGAGGAAGTATACTGCATAACTTGTATGAGTTCGGTTTTGGAAAGGGCGTGCTGAGAGACTGTCCAGCTGTCAGGTTGAACCTACACATCAAGGAAAAGGGTTGTTGAGAAGCTCATTGTAAATATAAAAAATGTTGTAGCTTATGCAGTCTTTCCCAGATAAGGTGGCTCTCCTTCTTTTATTACAATGTGAAGCTCAAAGGATTTCAAGCAACTGGTATCATGTACACCTATCTTCTCACAAGCAGAAATGATTCTGACATTCCTTCCTTTCTTTTGAGTTGGTCAAGTGAAGTTGACTGCTCTGAGGCATATCTTCCATGCATACAGGTCAAGCAGCATGTCTGCATACGTCGTGGGTTAGTGATGATCAAGCAGAGCTGTTTGATTTTGAAATATTTCTGATTATAGGCCACATTTGTCCAGAAGTCGAGTGGTTGATGTCCTGAAAGAATTAGTCGTCAGTAATTTGCGTGAGTGGGGCTTATTTAGCCAATAATGCGCCTGCAAGCAATTGCAAATTGCTGATTGGTTGCGTTAGATGTGTTTGAGTAATCTGCACTACTGTGATTGACTGTTTCGAGCCAGCCTTCTTTAACGCAGCCTAAGGAGAAGCAACAGTATTATACAGTAGTTACTAGTTGCCAAAGGCACTTGTCGATTGACACTTGGGCTATGGTGTACTCACCTAGTTGAGGTTGCGGGGGTCGAGTCCGAGCTCCTGGCCCCGGTGTGTGTGTGTGTGTGTGTGTGTGTGTGTGTGTGTGTGTGTGTGTGTGTGTTTTGATGAACACTTTACATGGAACATAATGACCCTCGTATAGTCGACAGGATTAAAACCAAATTAAAGAGCCTGTCAACCCTTGAGGTGATAATGGAGAACATGCACCAATACGTTAGGGATACAATCAGAGAGAAGAGGATGAACCTAGTATTCATTTCAAGTGGCTCTGACGTAGGGGATATCACACAGTACTGAATTTTAAATACCTTGTGGAAGTAAAGGTGGAGAGTGAAGCAGCGCGTGAAGGATGTGAGAAGCCAACCTTCAAAAGAGGGAACTACATAGGCATAAGACAATTCCTGCATGAGGTGCAGTGGGAAAGAGAGCGGGGGGGGGACAGAACTGAAGTGATGGAGCACATGACCACAAAGTTCAAGGAGGTAGAATAGTACCCAAGGACAACAGCAACAATGGGAAGTCCAGAACGAGCCCTTGGTTCACCCGAAGGTGTAGAAAGGCCAAAGATAAATGCACTAGAACATAGAAAAAGTATAGAAGGTAAGGAACCCAGAAAAAATAAGATGAGCCGAAGAGCCAGAAATGAATATGCCTGGATAAGGACGAAGGCCAAAAGCAGTGTAAGAATGAATAGCATCGGAAGCTATGTGGTTGTGCAAAACTGTTGTACAACAACATCAGGAAGAAAAACAGTCAAGAACGAGATAATCAGGCTGAGGCAGGAAAGAGGGTAGATAACAAGAAATGACCAAAAAGTATGTGAGGAGCTCAACACGAGATTTAAGGGGTTATTTTCAGTGGAGACAGACAGGCTTCCAGCAAACAGGGGTGATAGGATACATCAACAAGTGCTGAACACACATTACACATGACCGAGGATGAGGAGGTGAAGAGACTGCTAAGCGAACTAGATACCTCAAAGGCGGTGGGCCCAGACATCTCTCCGTGGATCCTGGGAAAGAGAGCAGAGGCACTATATGTGCCATGCTAGGGTGTCAAAGGATGCAACCCTCACTCAAAGAAAAGAATCTTGGGGCGAGTATCATACCAAACACATACGAGGCGCACATCAGCCAAATAACTGCTGCAGCATACGAGTGAATGGCAAACCTAAGAACAGCGTTTTGACACCCAAGTAAAGAGTCATTCAAGACACTGTACACTATGTACATCAGGCCCATATTGGAGTGAACAGCACCAGTATGGAATCCACACCTGGTCAAGCACGTCAAGAGCTACGGGGTATGTCCTATGACAGTAGAGGACAGGAGGGATAAGGGAAATATGATAATAACGCATAAAATACCGAACAGAATTGACAAGGTGAACAGGGACAGAACACTTCAGAGATATGACATAGCAACAAGGGGTCACAACTGGAGGTTGAAAACTCAAATGAGTCACAGGGATGTTAGGAAATATTTCTTCAGTTACAGAGTTATCAGGAAGTGAAACAATCTGGAGTGATATAAGTGGAGGTAGGATTCATACATAGCTTTAAGAAGAGGTATGATTAAGCTCTTGGAGCAGGGAGGGGACCTAGCAGCGATCAGCGAAGAGGCGGGGCCAGGAGCTGTGAATCGACCCCTGCAACCACAAATAGGCGAGTATACACGCACTGATCCGAGGGCAGGGGATCACAACTATTTTTGTGTACATTAACACACTTTATAGCAGCAGAGGGACCAATAACTATTCGGGTATATAGTTTATATGCTGAGCTACAATGTTATATACACTCTGAGATATATATAGGCTGAATGTGGTGGTAACAAGGTATATGCAACCCTAATGTCCTTCTGTTTAGTCAACACCTTTAAACCCAGTTAACAAACCAACCACTTGAGCTGTGTATATCTGTGTGTAGACATTTAGCTTTGAATATCTTTCACTGGATGTGCATATTTTGGTATATACATTGATATGTTCATATCTGTGTATATGATGTACACTGAGATGTGTGTATCCCCCAGCTTATA